TTCTAACAATAGATGCTCGGAAGTGTTACTGCCTTGCGAATTTGAGGGCAATGTCAATAAACGGAGTTCGTTTTCTTGTTCTTCAGATCTGTTAACCTCCTTCATAGACTGACAAAAAATATTTTTTTACTGACAAGTGTCATCTCCATGCAATCGTCGCTCTGGGATGTCTTTGGATTACATGCTATTTTACGTACATATGAACTGCCAGAAATGGGATGATGTATTGGAATGTTGTTTAGGCCATGATTCATCTTTCATTTCTTTGGATGTGTCAACGTAGCACCCGGGTTTTCCCGCTCACATGATATATTAACAATAATAGAAATGATTTCTTCATGTACTTGATTTTTTTCTAGTCATCTAGGGCTCATTGTCGGTTGTTAAGGAGGAAAGCGAACCTTTGTTGAGCGACTGTATACATGAATTTGTCTGAGGCTTCGCAGATTCGTATCTGACAACTTGATCTTGTTCATCATTTGCTAATGGATATGATCCTGCCTCACTCTATATTATTAGTAATTTAGATTTTTTAAATTAAAGATCCATGACAAAAATCTCTGAATTATTATCTTATATTTTTTTAAATTTAAAGTTTAAAAATTATAAACTGATTCTTCAATTAGATCTAATTAATTAAATAATAAATTTAGTATTAATAACGTTTTAATAATTTTACTTACGTCTACTCGTTATAATTAATTACATAGAGCGAGCAACTGATATGTGTACAAACACACACACCACACACATATACATATACATATATATATATACAAGGTTGTAAGTCATAAAAATGTTTCCCAGTGTATGAACTCCTAGCGATCTATCCGCTCAACTAATAGAAATCAAATTTCAGACATTGTTATTTGAAGACATTCGCTCGAGATTGTGGTGATTTAAAACGAAAGAACTCTAACAGTTACAGTTATAGTAAAAACGTTTCGAACGCTTTTACTATAACTGTAACTCATTTTTGCAATGGAAACACTCATTTCGAATGACAATACTCAATTGCAACAATTGTAAAGGACAAATGACAACACAGAGAGGAAGTATATTGACACACTTAGCATAATTCACAGGGATAAACATTAGAAGTACCAAACACAAGACATATCTGAAGCATTGTTTGTTAATAAGCAGTGTGGGAAAATTGTTTGTCAATCAGGTGTTCGAACATGCTAACAAGATGACACTTACAGGAAAACAATGAGGTAAATTGAATAGAGAAAATGCTACCGAAGTAGTGGAAGTATATTGTAGAAATCAAAAGCTAAGATGAGGTCGACGTTCTGTAAACATCTTACGTAATTTGGCACAAAAATTAAAAGAAAATGGATGCACCTGTGATAGACTGCGATCCGGACGACCATGTGTACCTGCTGAAGTTGTTGCGCAAGTGCATAATATGATTACAGAAGGTCCATGGCACTGTGGTTTTCGGCAAATACAAAACTGGAGGCAATAAGTGTTGCCCCCAGTTTTGGATTTGCCGAAAACCACAGTCCTCGATTTTCTTCGCTCTGTTCTTCGGATATTGCTTTATCGATTCCAGAGCATCTAGATGTTGCAATCTGGAGACGAGCAACAGCGAGTAAACTTTGCGAAGTTTTTACTGATCAGATATGATGAAGATACCAGGTGGCCACTTCGGATATTATAATGGGATCAGGGGCCTTTCTCCTTAATTTGGAACGTAAACTCCCAAGGACTGCGTTCGCTTGGGCTGATGAAAACACTCACGATGTAGCACCACGAAACTAAAGTGGCTGTGTATTGCGGCATTGCAAGTACATTCATTCTCGGTCCGTACTTCTTTGAAGGGGTCACTTCCACAGGTATGAAAACATGGTCACAAGTGCTCGGTTTAAAATGAAGAATTACGTAATTACAGGACTGCAGCAGCAGAATGTATATATATATATCGTTTAATGGTATGTATATATGCAAGATGGTGCTCTTCCGCACGTGTTCGGCATATGTTGCAACAACACTTTGAAGACAGAGTCATCTCTTGTAACTTTGAAGTACCGAAGCTGCCGCATACCCCGACCATTCTTCGATGGATTTCTGGTTCTGGGTTATTTAAAATCTAAGGTGCGAACATCATATGAGAAATAAAAGATGTCATAAAATATGAAGTTATACAGATTCCTCCTGCGATGCTAGATTCGTTGTTGTTGTCATAATCTTCCGCATACAATGCGTTATTGTCTCGCAAGATGGGCACGTTAAAAATTTTAGTTCCAATAACAGCTTTTTTCCCTATTCTCTCTTGTTTTTACATTGGTCCTTTACAACGCAAATGTTTTTGAGGAATTTCCCTCATTACGTGCATCATTTCAACGTCGTTTACGGTTTTCTAATGCGCTGCTCAATACGCACAGTAAAAAAGTGGGCGTTGCCCTTCGAAATTTTTTTCCTCTCATCATAATCATGAGAACTTTATTGTTTCAAATCATCACAATCTCGAACGCATACCTTAATAACAATAACTGAAATTTCATTTCAGTTGGTTGAGTAGATAGGCCGCTAGGGTTCATATTTCGAAAAGATTTTTTAAATACAACGTGGTCTTAATATATATATATATATATAATGAATAAATACAAAGTAAAAAGCAATTCAAAATTTAATCCAATTAACTGCTGATAGCTGCAAAAACTGGTAGTAATGTTGTAAAATAAAATTAAAAATAAAACATTTCAATCCATCCCATATTAAATTCGGTATATAATTTTATTTAAAACTACCATAAACCAGAACTTCTCAGTTTAATCTACAAGCATATACATGACAACACTGCCATTAATAATTGCAATGGAACTGAAAGATTTCTGTCCTAAACGCCTTAAACTGAAAATTAATAAAGATGACACCGAAGCAGATTATGTAGACCTGAAAATTGACAAACTCAACAAAAGTACTTTTTTTGATAAAAGGAGACTTTTCAATTTAAATGCAATTAAGCTAATTGATTGGTAATCCAATGTCTGCAAAAATTTCTTGTAAACCCTTTTATTAAAAAAACAAAAATATTAAAAACATATGTAACAACAGTCATGTAAAAAAGAACTTAATTTAGTGAATAAAATACTAAAAGATAATAGAATTCCACATAAATTTATCAAAACAAACCTAACACTTAAACCATTATGGCGACATAGTCTAGATGTTTTTAACGCAGTTGAATTAGGCATTCTTGTCAAAATGTTTACATTATTTTTAATTTTATTTAAACTGTTTAATTACCTATTTCTTTTATTAATAAAATGGATCTACTTCAGCTTTTAAGTCTCAAGGGAACCCGCTTGAGTCAATTCTATAATCTGTAATAAATTGCAACTTTTTTTGTTTCTTGGCTGTTACTTTTTAGGATTACTTATAATTTATAACGTCAGGTCGAATTCTTCATTTGCATTCTTCATGATTAACGAAGTCTAAAAATCCTTTTTTAGACACTGTTTTGTTTCCATTAAAAGCCTTATTTATTATTTGTTATACACCACAATGTTTTGTACTATTTTTTATGATTTTATCACTAAAACATTACAATCTTCCAAATTAATTAACGCTAAACACTACAACTTTATAGATCTACGTACTGTTGCATCAACTGAGTGTAATCTTTCGGATATATAGTTTCGGATGTAGCATGTAGTAAGCATCGTTACATTTTTATGAATATATAACCCAGGTAATTTTCTGCTTTTTTTTTCGTTTAAAATTTATTTTGCAATGTTTTTATTTTTGTGCTACACCATGTTTAATGTGGCTTCAGAAGGTTTTGTCTTACTCTGTTAGCCTTATTAACTAGCTTATTTTTATTCTGATTTTGTAACAAAGGTAAGCTAGGGTTAATTCGCTTCAGAATACTAGATTAATTCTTTTCTATTCTTTGCTTAATGTCCTACTAGTTTCAACAAATTTATTTTATACTATTGAAAAGCATATTTATGTATTTTTCTGAATTTTTATTTACAAAACAAGAAACTTCCAAGTATTTTACATAATTTTATACAAATTTATGGGTTTGAAGCTATTTTGTTAAGATTTTAGCTCTTTTTGCATTTTTACTCAAGAAACTCCAGGCTGTATAGGTTGGCTTGATAATGACAAACTTCTGTGACTAAATTTCAGTCTTTTATTGAATTATTACATTCTAATTTATAAGTCATATCATTGTCAGTTCAGAAATCGGCTGTTTGATTTAGGTTTTCCGTTGCACCAACACACTGACGATGGTGCAGAGAATTTATTTTACTATTTTAGGCTTTTATTCATTATTATTGGGTTATAGCATAAATTCAACTCAATTATAGCATTGCTGAGAGTTAGAAAATTGGAAAAGCATATTTTCCTATGATAAACACCGCAAAAGTATTCTCGAAATAACAATATTATTAATTTGATAGTTTTAAATCTCTCATGCTCTGAATATCTTTGCAGCAAACGATCTAATTAACTTAGGCTTTTAATTCATTTGTTTTGCTGTGCAGACAATTTGTAAACAATAGTATCAACGTCGAGAAATAAACTCTGCTAACTGCAATTTTTTCTATGTAATATTCTAAAATCGCTAGCCATTAAATAATATATAAAATCTGGGACTATGAGTAATAAATGCATCAACGATACAGCTGTTAAATAAAAAGTCAGAGCTGTGTTTTGACGTATATCTAAGCATGTGTTGTTGGCAAAGGTAAATATTTTGTGAAATTTATTGTTAATACAAGTAATGTTATTCCTCTGTACTCTATAGAATGAAAATGATGCTAAAAAGTGTATTATATTTGAGAAGTAAAACCGCCAATATTCTTGAAAAAAAGACAAAATCAGGAACTTTTTTTGGTGTAGACTTTGAACAAAATTCTACCAATCACAACTGAGGGCAATCAATCACGATACCTGGCAAAAAGCCCTTTTGTCGAATGGATTTCAGAGTTTAAAAGAGTGTGCCGTAAACTCTAAATTGAATATTTTTGAAATATACTTACATATGTTGAAACACATGTCCACTTTTCATGAGATCTTTTGCAGTGAATACTTCCATTCCATGTTGCAAAAGCATTAATGTTTGTTCTTCGTTTCCACAGGATACTGCATCAAATACTGAGAAACTTCTTGAATAGTTCCACAGAGATCTTGGGAATTCAGAACAGTAAGAAATCAAATCGAACTTTGCATTTATAGTGTGTTTCAAGAGAAAACCCAAAAAGCCTGATCTGTACAATGGTTGCGGAAAATGACCTACGTCTGCGATGTCTAGAATGTACCAGTTTATGGTTAATACAAGCAAGGATGTCACTAGAGGACTGTCTTGAATATCGACATTATAACAAAATTCCAGTAGTTCTGCTATAAATTTGTAGAGCTCGACATCTTTTTCCGTTGATCTAAATAAGAAACGGCAAACTCTTAGGACTGTGGGTGTTTCCGATAATCTAGGAATGATACAGCATACTTTTACAAATTTCTGTAACCAGTTTTCAACTTCTTCGACGCTATTGCATGTATCCAACCGCCGCTTCAGATTCGCTATATAATCTCTGAACATGCTTCCTTTCACTATAGTTAATAGTTTTTCCCTAAAGTATGCATGGTCCCTCTCGATTGAGAGAAAAAATGGAACATCTTTTAAAAATTTTGCTTCTATACGTTTCAATGTAAGCTGCAAGTGGAATATATCGAAATCGATGCCATTGCGATCTGTCACTGTTTTGAATTCTTTAATCAATGCCTTCATTAATGTTACAGAGCAATCCAGCTTCAAGGCTTGTGCAATTACAAAAAGGCTTAGTGGGCTATCATCCCAGCCCAATAAAGTCAAAGCATTAAAAGAAGAGCTAAGAATTTGCTCAGATTTTTCCATTTCGTACACAAGTATTCTATATTGTTAACAGCTGATCATCTTTTGCTATGCAAAACCAAGACTGAAAGTTATGCATCTGCAAAGTAAAATTGATATTCAAAGATAATAACAAATGTGAACCTAGATAGCTTTGATTACGGCCTTTGGTTTCAGTAGAAGGGAGACATATTGATAAAAGAGCTACAGATAAGAACCTATTGTGGAATTAAATAATATCAGGAAATTTAAAGGTATTTTTTAATGATATGAATAATATTATCTTATAATACATTTCGAAATTAGGAACCAAGGTGACTTGTAATCAAAGCTGGGAAAAAGTAACTAAAAAGAGCGCTAAACTAGTTGTGAAAAGTTTGAAATTTATTAAAATAAAGAAGTTATGATTATGAACTTTAGAATGAATTATGAACTTTAGACTTTTTCTTAAACACATGAAGAGCCATCGTTTTAAAATAGCATGTTAAAAGTAGAAACTTTACTAACACAATTCACAATAGTAAAAAGGTCTTGTGTTCTTGATACTGCAGTAGTTTAGAAATGCCCGAGCTAATTCGAAGGTAACAAAAGAGAAATGTAACTTTTCTGATACGAAAACAATAATATACGAAGTAAGTCTAAATTAAAATTTTGAGTATTTTTTTACAATCTTCTGTTACTTACAGCCTCATATTTCCAGCTGAAGTTTCATGAGTTAGGAAAATTTGAAGGACATTCAAATTTTTAAATAAAAAAGGTCTTAAAAACTAGGGCAAGCACAAAATGAATTTTTGACGACTTTAGGATTTTCGAGGAGCAAAATAACAAAAACTCAAGTGACGAGGACAAATCAAATTTTTCAATGAAAATGATAAATGCAAATTTTATATTTAAAAAAATAATAATGCTCGATCTAGATCACATTATTATAAAATTTTAAAAACTGATGATTTTCAAATATAAATACTTAATAAAAATTAGATTTTTTCAACAAATACTTACATGAAAAAAGTGAACAATCTTAACGAGATGGTTAAAGGATAAAAAGCCACGGGAATAAGTTTGCCGTCCAACCGGGACAGTGGTTAGCGACGCTGACTGCCGTACAGAAGAGCCCGAGATCAAATCACGGAAATGGCATGAATATTGTCAATGCATAGTTTCTGTGCGACAAGGGCACTTAGAGCCAAAAGTCATACCGAGAGGTTGGTTGTAGGGAACGAGGGTTGGGAGACTCTCGGACCCGTCCCCCCGGATGTTCTATATCAAAATTGGGGGCGGAACTGAGAAAAGTGATGCTGTCACTAGTATGATGCTCAAGGCTCTTGCAAACGTCAGGCGTAGTCTCGCACTCCTTGCCACGATGTAGTTAGTTGTAAAAATAATTCTTTTTTCAATATAAATTTATTTCTTCAATTAAAATTATTTTGAGGTCTGTAAATTATGAGTGTTCTCTGCTAGCGAATTGTTTTTTATTATCGGATATGCAATGGGCGGATCGAACTGAAAGTCTTTGAAAGACTTTTCTGAAAACAAGTGCTTGAAATTAAAAATCTGATGTGGCATGACTTCCTCGTTCGGCGAAATTAAAAATCTGATGTGAACACCACATGACTTCCTCGTTCGGCCTATTACCTTAGACATATGTTTTACTGCACTTCATTTAAACTTATTTCCTTTAATTATTCCAACTTAATTAACCGATCCCTCAAGGAAAGTTACAAATGACATCAAAAATTCCAAAATTTGAAATCAAATATCCCTATAAATTTTTTCTCATACGGGAGTCAGAATTCTTGTATTTTCAATTCTTCATAACGAGTATAAATCTTCCCAAAATATAAATATAGGAATCGAGAGATCGCTTTAATAGTTAATTTTCGTTATTTAGTGAAAATTCACTTTTGTTTTAAATTTGACATCGCCAGAATGTGAATATTTTCGTCATTTAAAACATTTTTGTGATTGAAAGTATATGATTATTACCAACGACTGCGAAAATAAAGGCCGGGTAAGGACTTTAAAGCCGGGTAGGGGGTGGATATATATATATATAGCCGGGTAGGGGGTGGATATATATATATATAGCCGGGTAGGGGGTGGATATATATATATATATATATCCACTCCTACCCGTATATATATACGTATATACGTACGTACGTATGCTGAGACGTCATGAAAAAATTCCTTCTGAATCCATTTTACAATTCATTTTGAAACATGAGAGTTCTCTGTCCGTGCGTATAGACGTCAAGAAAAAGAAAAAATAATTTCGTCTGAGGCTCGAGTCCCGGAGAAGACATGGATGTTTGTAAATGTATAGTATCCGTGCGGCATGGGGGCACTCTAAATATGCGAGGCTAAAGTCCTCTCGAAAGAGTGGTGGTAAGGGAAGAGGGTTGGAAGACGCTCGGACCCTCCGCCCACCCAGAGGAGCTCTCCATCAAAATTGAGGGTGAAACTGAGCTAAATCGAACTGTCACCTGTAATGTGCTCAAGGCTGTTGCCAGCGAAAGGCGTATTTTGCGCTCCTTGCCACGAGGAATTTCGTGAGCTTGGGCTGACTATAGGTCAGACAAGTGAACAATAGTCAACAACAACAAAAATATGTTATTAAAAAAAAGTAATACTGCAAGCGAAGGGAAATAATATACTAAACGCATTGAATATTAAATATATTGCTGAAGAGAATTTATTATCTTAAAATTAAAAACAAATTAATATTCATATCCAATAAGTTTGCACTGAATAAATTGCTGTTCGCAGCGTAGTTTACGACAAGGTTCAAATTGTGATTACAACAGGGCACAAAAAATGCTCTGGGGCTGATATCTAGGGTGTATCCAAAATTCTTTTTTGCACACCGTTATGTTGTTGACAACGATATAGCGTAGAGTTTCAACCGGCGATGCTACATTTCCGCCAAAAGTTTGCAAAAACTGCAGTTCATGCATAAGATCTATACTATTTATATCGCTTTTTTTTATCAATTAATGCTTTTGGCAGTTTTTGACATAAGTTGGGCTGATCTTGTAAATATATGTGAACGAAAATACGTGATGCCGATGCGTATAAGGGTACAGGGTACAGGGATGCGATAAGGGTACAGGGGATGCCGTAGACGAATTGCTTAGTCCTTATTTTGTGTCTACAGTTGCAATCGTAGTAATTTGTGCAACATTAATCTTTTTTGTGATGCTTATTGTTATTGTTATTCTACATAAAAAAAAGTAAATGCAGTTACATATTATGTTAAACTTAAATTATCTTTTTAATTCAGAAAAGCGACGATCTGAGCATAAATACTCAATTTTTTTTTACATGAACCATTTGTTTATTAAACAAAAAATATTTGTCTTCCGAGAAGAAAGTATTGACATATTTACGGAGTACCACTGAATTAAAAGTATACCTGTTTAAGATTTGAAATGAAGTAAAAATGTACAAGGTATTCTGAAATCAAAAACTGGCCATTTTCCGATTTTTAAGTATACGGAAACCCGAAGGAAAATGTTTTGTTATTTCATTAGTCTTACATACATACTTTAAATCTGACTTATTTACTTTAATAAACAAAAGAGTAATACCACCTTCTTGAATTATTTGTTATGGATCTAACAGTTCATATATTTTCCAAGCAATGGTTTAAGATATAACATTTAATATTAAAATTTATGTATATTTTTAAATTCATCCATTGAAATTTTTTAAATATAATTTGTTCTCATAGTAAGTCAAAAAAATCAAATTTTTCCAATTTGAAATTTTTATGTAATTTTTCCTCATAATTTGTTTAAATCATCGTGTCGTCAAAAAATTATATTATGCATGTCCTCATTTTTAAAACTTTTTTAATAGAAAATTTCAATTTCCTTTGATGCCTCTTAGCCTGGGAACCTCTAGTTTTAAATTTGAGCCCATAAATAATAGAATATTGTGAAAATATTAAAATTTGAACTTAGATATATCTTTTTAATTCTGTATGTATATTATATGTTTTCTTATCAGACAAATTACATTTCTTTTTTGTTATCTTCAAAGCTTGGGCATCTATTAATAACCTAGTGCACGTATTGTTGGCGTTGATTAACATTACCCAATTTAATTTAAGGTAAACAATAACAGGTTAAAAAATCAACTTACACTAACTACTTTAAAACTGAACAATTAATCTTAAAATTAAATTACTGAGAATCAAAATTAGGAAACAGTAGATAACATTGTTTAGAATCTCTGGTAATTCACTGTATTATTCACCTGTAAGCTTCTTGTGGGAAGCAGATCATTTTTTTATGTGTTACAAAGCCAGTAAGTAAATTTCATTTGCTGTCACGGGCTTAAACAATCGCCAATTTCGAGAAGTTTTATTAGACCCAGAAACTGAATACCCTGATATGGCTCTTAAAACATTTTTATTAGAAAATTTGAATTTCCCTTGAAGCCTCTTAGCTTGGGAACCTCTAGTTTTAAATTTGATAAATTTGAAATAAGCTCTTCGATGGCTCAGCAATGTTAAAGTTTTGTTGAGATTCTTTGTAATGAGAAGTCAAAGATAATTTTTGTAAATGAGAAAATTGCAGACAACCTTTGTTACCAAACAGCGAATGGCTATGAAAATTAGCATTTGCCCCAGACATCGTGAGCTGCCTCAACGAATTCAGCCTAAAACTACAGGGGAAAGCAGTACTCATTGTGTAAATTGCATTCTATCATAAAGGCATATCGCCAAACATTTTCATTGTTTGAAACACTAATAACATTTTCCATGCTGTAAAAAATTTCAAATGTTAACGAAATTTCCATTTCCAGGCTACTGAACTTACAGTTACAACAGCGTTTTGTGGATCTTGATGCAAATATAAAAGATATTTTCATGTTTCAAAATCCATTTGCCTCGTATAATTGAAGAGCTTTAAGCAAACCTTCAACAGGAAGTGATTGATTTGAAAAATGATGATATTGTTGCGTTTTACTGGTTCGCGAATTTAGAGTGATTGATGACAACACTTGGTGAAGAATCAAAACACAATTTATTCGTGAGAATTACAGAGGAGAGTTCCAAAGACACGTTTACAGCCGTCAACAAAACTACGATAAACACGCGGAAACAATCAGCAACACAGCCATCAGGCTATCAAGCTATAACGGTGAAGACAGCTTCACAGCAAAGCGCTAAAGTAAGCTTCCGACTTAATCGATCGCTCTTGAGCTAATCTCTGAACT